CCTATGGAGCGAAAGAGCCGGCAAGGCGCTGGCCGAAGACCAATCCCCCTCCCCGTCAGCGCTTCGGTTCCCGCTGCGGGTTAAAAAGGTCCCTGGCCCCGCAGGGGAAACACCTTCCTGCCCTGTCCAACGCGCCCCGGGGCCTGGCCACGGTCCGAGCGCAAAGCGGCGCCGCGGGCCGCCTGGTGATCAGCGCCGGTGGGGAAGCGTTCGGAGCCAGTTCCCGAGGGAACTGCCTCCCCCACCCCCGCTCGCACTGCGGGGCCGAGATTTACCGGAGCCTTTTCTGGACTCCAAAGTGGCACCAGTTGATCTCAGAGCCGGGTCCTGCATGGATCCAGTTTCACCAGGGCAGATCAAAGGTCCCTCTAGCCCAGTGTCCTGTCTGCCACCAGTGCCAGGTGCCCCAGAGGGAATGAACACAACAGGAATCATCAGCTGATCCCTCCCTCTCACCCATTCCCAGCTCCTGGCAAAAAGAGGCTAAGGACGCCATCCCCACCCAGCCCGGCTCTCAAGGTGTCCCATAGAGCTGGATGAGTCTGAGGCCCTCAAAGACCAAAGGAAGAGCATCCATGTGGTTGCCTCAGTGCAACAATGAACCCTCCTCCAGTGTGAAGGGTGTTAATACAGTTCTCCAGTGTAGACAAGGCCCCTTGAGTTACACAGGTATCCCCACTGCCATTCCCTGCCTCCTGAATGAGACTTATCGCCACAAGCAAGGCGCCCGTTGCCCTGCAATGGTTTTGAAAGCAGTTTGGTTGCACAGGTGCAGCTAGTCCACGTGCACCCGCTTATTTCAGCTGAAGCCGTTTACTGCAGCTTCATTCCAAGCTTTACATACCGGTGTGACACTGCAATCAGCCTGGTGTCAATCCAAACCAGAGTGGGAACCAGAGTGGGCACAGGGGCCTGGTAGCAATGGAATGACTTTGGTTTCACATCACACCTTTACTTACACCACTGGCAGTTAAGACGCCCAAGGATGGGGCCTGCTTTTCAAAGTTGTCACTGAACTCGAAGAGACTTTTCTTAGAGGCAAAGAACATGCCTCCACGTCTGTTTTGTTGTCAGCTGGGGGTGCACAGCTCCTCGGAGGGGACAAATATGGGGACAGAGCCCCCCCCCCATCCTTCAAAACACTTCAATTTGCATCTATTTAACCTTAAACCCCTGTCTACTCCTAGGAAGACATTTTGAAATTAGTAAATTCGACTTATTTAACAAATCACGATCAACAGATTCGACCATTTAACAAATTTGAACTAGTGTGTCCACACTACAAGGAAGCCTCGAAATTAATCAGAGGCAGGCTCCATTCGTGTGGATACGCTGCTACCTCAACTAAGGCTACATCTAGACTATGGGGATTTTGAGAGATACTGGAGGTGTCCCACCAAAACCCCGCTGCATCCAAGGAACGTGTTTGCTCTTCCGCTTTTTAATGCACTCTTTCGGGGAGCCCTGTATACCTCATTTCACGAGGCATAAGGGCTCTGCTGAAAGAGGCGGCTTTTCTGCCATTTGGCCCTGTCATTTCCAAATGGTGGAAAAGCCCTTCCCGAAAAGAAAAAAACCAGCAAAAGCTATACAAAATGTGGAGCACATTTTGCATAGCTTTTCCCACAAAAACCCAGTCTAGACCTAGCCTGAGAGTCCCAGGAAGCACTGGGGAGTAATTGGTTAGAATTACTCTGGGGAGTAATTATTTCAAAATAGCAGCACTGGCACATCCACACCACTGCTATTTCAACATAACTATTTTGGAATTAGCGTTACTCCTGATGAAAAGCAGGAGTACAGATGTCAAATTCCGTGGCCTATTATTTCAATATAACGGGCTTGGTAGCGTGGCCATGCCACTTATAAATTCGACCCAGGGGAGGCGGGAGGAGGTTTTTTTCAAAATGAAGTCCTAGTGCAGGGCTAAGTGTTAAAACAGCACCATTGACCTGCCTCACTGCTTTGTGGACAGGCCTGAGTTTGCTACTGGGCTAGTTACCTAACTGCAGGCAGCCCAGTTAGAGGACTATGGATTTTGCTGGTTTCTTCTAGGAGAACTCTCCCGTTGGAAGTGAGACAGCCCCAGCTTGGCAACACAACCCGGAGCTTTTCCATTGCCTTTGTATCTAGCAATCTTGGTTTCAAAGGGGTTCATTAGTAACCTGATAATTCTAGAGCAGTGAACCAGCGGCAGCTCCACCATGAAGTAATTCTAGGAAAGAAAGTAACATGAGCTGGTGGACGCTCGAGATGGATACGTGCGGTTATTGCTGGTGACAGCTAAATTGGTAAGCAAGAGGGAAATCAGATGAAAGTCGTTTTGGAATAAATACGAGACATCGCATTGCAGCGTGCGGGTTGTGACAACAATGGCAGGCAACCCAGGAAATTCAAAGGTAAGACGAATAGTCCAGCCTCTCCACGACAACCCGACTCAAGGCTTGTGAGTACCAAAGTAGCTGGGAATGAGCAAACATGGAGAAAACAAACAGCTCGGTCCACAGCAAGGAGGCAGCGAGCTGCGGTAAGGATAATGTAGGATTAAAATGGCCCTCGCGGGAATGCAGGGGCTAGCAAGCTGGTGCTTTTCTGTATCCTCTGTTGCTGCTTCTGGGGATCAGGCGTAGGCTCAGTGCAGAGGCAAGCGCTCTCCAGTATCAGCCCATCTTCCACTACCAAGTCAAGTCAATGCACATCACCAGGCAGAGGGGAAAGGAAGCGGATGCGCCCCGGTGTGACACTCGGGCAAGAGCTGCGGCAAAAGCCAGCGGGGAGCTATTTAAAGAGCTAGCAGGGACCTGTAAGAAATTTTCAGTGACTTTCACCCCTGGGCAGGCTGTGACGGCGCGTTGGGGTTTTCCCGTCTCCTGCACCCCCGTAATGGCACAGACAGACTCCACCAGCCAGTAGAATAGAGGGAATTTATTGCTTCTCCAGGATACAGCACAGCACAGATGTAATCTGGTTACTGGGCAGGCCTGGGATGCCCCAGCCCCCCTTGAGACGGGGGAGACTTGGCCCCTAAATCCCAGCCCGTTGCCTAGGCTGCTTCCTCCATGATACCAGCCAGAAACCTAACTACCTCACTTCCAGCCCTGCCCCCAGCCAGGGCTCCACTCCCCTTCTTCCCATTGTTCCGCTCCCTGGGAGATAACGGGTCAGACAGGTTCAAAGCCCCCTTGCGTAATGACTCATCCCCTGCCTTGCTGGGCCGTGCTGCAGCCAGCAGCCAGTGGAGGTCACTCACAACCCACTGCCCAGCATAGCAACCAGCAAGGTACCCCCCCACTACGTCACACGGGCATCAATCTATTTATGCACCTCTGCACTCCGATGCATCTCCCATTGGTGTAAGTGTCCCATGATGGCCCGGCAGTAACACTGTCTCCCTGAAGAGTGTTGAACCGTCACCCATGTACTGCAGTCACTGCAGGGTGAGTGTCGTCACCGCCTGATCCATGTCTACCCCAAGGCTATGTCTAGGCTACATTTTCAAAAGAGGACATGTAAATTCCATGGGAATTTGCATTTCTTCCAAGCTCACTTTTGAAAGAGGATCTTTCGAAAGTGAAAGTAGTCTGGATGTGGTTTTTTCAGGAAAATGTTTAATGGCTCCTGGCCCACCCCCACATTTGCAGGACACAGGGGTCAGCCTGTCATGGCGTCACATGTACGAGACGAGGTGGCGGCACCACCAAAGGTAGAGGGGCTGCTTTTCAGTTCCTGGAAGGCGAGGCAGGTTCATGGGGAGCAGTGAGTTTGCCTGCACCAGGAAGTCCCTTACGTCCTACTGAGAGCTCTTGGTGGAACTTCGCTGGAGCTACTCTGCAGGTCTCTCCCGAAGGTTGCGAGGGTGTGTGACGGCGCGTTGGGGGTCCCCCGTCTCCTGCACCCCGAAATGGCACAAACAGACTTCACCAGCCGGTGGAATAGAGGAAGTTTATTGCCTCTCCAGGATACAGCACAGCACAGATGTAATCTGGTCACAGAGCTGGGCTAGGATGCCTCAGGCCCCCTTGAGATGGGGGGAGACTGGCCCCTAAACTCCAGCCCCTTTCCCTAGGCTGTCTCCTCCATGCTCCCAGACAGCAACTAACTAACACTCTTCCAGCCCTGCCCCCCAGCCAGGGCAGCATCCACCTTCCTTTGTTCCTCTCCATGGGGGGTGTCTGGCCATACTGGTTGAGAGATACCTTTGCCTAGTGAGTGACTCATCCTGTTTTGCTGGGTCGTGGTACCCACGGCAGCCAGTGGGGGTTACCCCAGAGCCAGCAGCATAGAAACCAGCCAGGTACCCCCACTACGTCACAGGGTGGCTGCCTTATTTCTTTCTCCACCGTAAAACCACTTTCTTGTGCACCAAAAAAAAGTCAATGCTGGATCACCTGTAATGGCGGGTAGAGCTGACTACATCAGAGAGCACAGTAGCTAATATCAGGCGAGATTTCTAGAAGAAGAAGGTCGGGGAGATTCTCGGAGATTCTCTCTTTTATTCGACCAATGTCTGTCGGTGAGAGAGAAGCTTTGGAGCTGCACAGAGCTCTTCTGGTCTGGGAAAGGAACTCCCAGCATCTTACTGTCATGGGGTGGGAAGCCCCATTCACCAAGAAGCTGGGGGAGGAGGCTCTTGAACCCCATCTGTGTGGCCTCACCCCATAATCAGGACCCCGCCTATGGCCTTTAGCAGCAGGGCAGCACAGCTCAGCAGCCTAGTCCGTAGTGACCTCAATCAGTAAGGCCCAGCAGCCAAGTCTCTGGTACCCCAGTCAAAGAGGCAGTAAGGATCACAATAGGCTAACACCCCCCACCCCCGCCCAGCGGTCAACAGAGGTGAGGATAGGGGGTTCCAGCCCAGGGCCCTGTCAGTAAGGTTGCCAGGTGTCTGGTTTTCTCCCAGACAGTTCAGTATTTTGGCCTTCTGTCCAGTTAAAAAAAACCAAACCACACACACGCACACACACCAGAGAACACTGGACATGTAAAGTTTCTGGTATTTTCTGTTTTCCTCAGACAGAAAGCCGGTGGCATCTATGAGGGTAGGGGGAGCGAGGACCACGATAATTTAAAGATGCAGAGGCCTTATTTTTTCCCATCAAAAAGATGGCCGTCGGTGATTTAAAGATGCAGAGGCCTTATTTTTTCCCCTCAAAAAGATGGCCGGCAGTGTCCGCAAGGGTGAGGAGCGTGGTAATTTAAAGGCACAGCAGCCTTTTTTTCCTCAAAAAGATGGCCAGTGGCATCTGCGAGGGCAGGGAGATCGAGGAGTACAGTCATTTAAAGGCACAGCAACCTTTTTTTTTTTTCTCTACCAATTTTTCCCAGCCTGTTTGGGATTTTTTGTGAAGGTATCTGGCAACTCTACCTGTCAGTGGTGGGTGTATCCCACCACTGGCTTGGTGGGGATTCCTCCCAAATCATGCCGAGCTTGCCGGGAAGCTTCTAGCTCCTTGCCCTGGGCTACTTCCTCCCCTGGTCACCAGCTGGTGACTTCCCCATCTGCGTCCTCCGGGTTAATTGCTCTTCCTAACATCCACTGGCAGCGGCTGTGCACAGGCAGGATCTCCTTCCCCTCCCATGGTCAGCCCTGACTGAGCTGCTCCCCTGGCTTTTATACGATGCCTGCAGTTGGGGCATGCCCAGCAGGGCTGTGGGGGAGGGGCCCTCTCAGCCAAGCAGGCCTAGTTAACCCCTCTTGGGACACTGCCGGATTGGTACACCCCGTCACCCTTCCCAACATGCAAGGCAGAACAGATTGTTTAACGGAAGTAAGTCAGGTGTATTGTGCCGGCCAGTGGATTTTTTCACAAAAGGAGAGCGGTCCGAGAGTGATTATCACCTCTCATAAGTACGCAGTCATGGATCGGTATTCTGGCTTGTTGGAATCATATCAATACAACTTCTAAGAACTGAAAAGTTAAACCCAGCCTCTTTGCAGATGGCGTTCATTCTGGGTCACCTCAGCAGCGATGCAGGATGAGATCCCTGAAAACACAAGGGCTGTGTCTAGAATGACCAGTTTTTTCGGAAAATCAGCCGCTTTTCCAGA